CTACTACTACTACTACTACTACTACTACTACTACTACTACTACTACTCGTCGTCGTCGTAGTCGTCGTCGTCGTCGTCGTCGTCGTGGTCGTCGTCGTGGTCGTGGTCGTGGTCGTGGTCGTGGTGGTGGTGGTGGTGGTGGTGGTGGTAGTGGTAGTGGTAGTGGTGGTAGTAGTCGTCGGCGTGGTAGTGGTAGTGGTAGTGGTAGTGGTAGTGGAAGTAGAAGTAGAAGTAGAAGTAGAAGAAGAAGTAGTAGTAGTGGTAGTGGTAGTCGTAGTGGTAGTGGTAGTAGTAGTAGTAGTAGTGGTAGTAGTAGTCGTAGTAGTAGTACAAGAAGTAGTAGTACAAGAAGTAGTAGTACAAGAAGTGCAAGAAGGAGTACAAGAAGTAGTAGTAGTAGTTGTTGTTGTTGTAGTAGTAGTTGTAGTAGTAGTAGTACAAGAAGTAGTAGTAGTAGTAGTAGAAGTAGTAGTAGTAGTAGTACTGGAAGTAGTACTGGAAGTAGTAGTAGTAGTAGTAGTAGTTGTTGTAGTAGTAGTTGTAGTAGTAGTAGTAGTACAAAGAAGTAGTGGTACAAGTAGTAGTAGTAGTAGTAGTAGTAGTAGTAGTAGCAGTAGCAGTAGCAGTAGCAGCAGCAGCAGGAGTAGTAGTAGTAGTAGTGGTAGTTGTCGTGGTAGTGGTAGTGGTAATCGTAGTAGTAGTAGTAGTAGTAGGAGTAGGAGTAGGAGTAGGAGTAGCAGTAGCAGTAGTAGTAGTAGTAGTAGTAGTACAAGAAGTAGTAGTAGTAGCCGTCGCCGTCGCCGTCGTGGTCGTAGTTGGTAGTAGTAGGTAGTAGTAGCAGTAGTAGGTGGTAGGTGGTAGTTGTGGTGGTATAGTAGTAGCAGCAGCAGCAGCAAATAGTAGCAGTAGCAGTAGCAAAAGTAGTAGTAGTGGTGGTCGTAGTAACAGTAGTGGTAGTCGGGGTACGCGCAAAAGTGAGCGAATGGATCGCGTGCAAAAGAGAGACCAAATCCGTGCGCAAAGGCGAGAACACCGCCCCCTTCCATATGAAATATCCAAAGGTCGCGTCTGGGATTTAAAATTTCACATCATCACAAGGGATGGGGGTGGTTTCATACATCCGGTGATTTCGCACCTCTTCCAAATTCCATCCCTTTCGCACCACACCGGACACCTCGACGCCCGTGATGGTCCGGTAGTCGATGCGAGGGTAGACCTGGCGACGATCCGATCCGAGCAACAGGATCGAAGGACTCAGATAGTACTCACGTAGCCATAGACTCAGTGACCTAACAAAAGCAGGGGGACCCGGGACCGTAGCTTAGCATCAATGTCCTTGCGCGTCCTAATCTCTGGAACACTGGTGAAAGTAAGCATCGTGAATCAATAAACTGTGTTTGGGGCTGTTCTGCAATTGTTCCATCAAACTGTTTCAAGTGTTCCCACTGGAGATGTCGGGAAAACATGTGCAAATAGGACTTTAATAACTTTATCCCGGACACCAACATGAAGAATAGATGGTGACACCTACTGACCAGTGGAGAAGTGACACGTCTAGCGCCGCTCTGCCCCGCGCTTATTCTTCTCTTTCAGAACTCTCTGCGCCATGCGGTGTCACCAAGCGGACGAAAATACCAGCTAAACGACCTGGTTCTGAAACCAGTGACCTAAGTTGACATGCTGGTTGGTTCGGTCACAAACAGGCCTGTAACAGGTCACTTGAGGACTCCAAAGTTCGGTAACTTTCTGAAGAAGCTGGTATATAAGCTAGTAGTAACAAGTGCCACGCTAGTAGTAACAGGTGCCTTACTAGTAGTAACAAGAAGCTACTAGGAACAAGTGCATCGCTAGTAGTAACAGGTGCCTTACTAGTAACTCTTCACAAAACGTGATGAGTAAAGAGATCCTCGCGACGGTCGCCTTGGGACTGTCGCGACCGCGCCGAATCTCCACGGTGATGTGTTCCCTTTCGTGGACGGCTCGCGGCGATGGTGGCCTTGTAGTCGCGCTGCGCCGCAGCGGCATTGACGGCTGCAGCAGACCTTGTTGCCAAGGTCTAGGCTCTTACTGGGCAAGTCTCATGAGCTTGACGTGGGCGAGTCTGATGAACCTTTAACCAAACGAAACATGTTGAAACTCATTCGTGGGATATAATTATCCTCTCCTTTGGAGACAAACTCCACAGCATGAACATCTGGACTAACAGCAACATCGTACAGAGTTCCACTATATGGATCACAAAGCCATCTTGACCCTCAGTTCAGTCATTTCTGCACCCTGAATTGCACTCTGCCCCTATGCTCCCGACATGGCGAGACCGAGTCTGCTCCCTACAGGATCCAAACTACGACCAAAACTTGGAACTGAGCCGAGTCGGGCGAGGCCACAAGACCTGAATGCTGCTTTAGAGAGACATCAAAAGTGAAACAAATTGAGCAGTTCATGCGTCTCCCATGATAGGCGCCTTTTCCTTTGGAGTTTTGCGATAGGGCTTCGGGTGGGGAGGCGCCGGAGGCGCTGCTTGAAGACACCGAGAGGCCTCCAAAACCCGCAAACCCCGCAAACCTATTGCGCTGCTCTCTCCACTCATCGAAGGTAAGACCAGTCAAGCCAGCGCATAGGATTGTGACCGTCCCACCACGTTTCCATCCGTTTTCTGAGGAAGTCAAGTCCCAAATAGTAAATAGGCATGTCTCAGTGTCGGGTGACCGGGCGGGTCGCTTGCCAGGGGTCGAAGACTGGGCATGTTGAGACCAACCCAGAATCATATCCTCCAATATCATCCAATACCCTGAATCTAAACACACATAGTCTTGAGTTACAACATGCACTGTAGAAACGCGCAAACAATCCACAAGCCCTACATGCCCGGTATACCCAAACCTTGAAAAAGGGTAGATTGTGATTGGCCAAGGTCTTGAAACTGTGCTGCGGGCAGCAGAATCTGAGACTGTGCTCGTTGGTAAAACTTTATGATATGATATATGTTCACTCAAAGTTTGCCTCTTCCCTCTGGCCCCCACCCTGACCTCACATCAGCTGCAGGCTATATATGGCTATCATCGTTCAACTCCGGCCGATGTCATCCAACCACTGGAAAAACATGCATCCAACCACTGGCTCGACATCCAACCACTTGCAGTGCTGGAGCGGAGATCGTCGCTTTTTACATCACCGAGTACGTGTATTATATATAGAATGTTATAAATTCCAAGTCTTAGTACAGACCACAAAGCACATTGATACACAAAAACCACGCTTCCATCCCAAAAGCGGGATAGCGACGTGATTGGTCAACATGAGATCAACCTGCTGGTCACTGCTAAGACCACAGGGTCGTTGGAGGGCAACATGGATGTTTGAGTCACCCCTCATGGCCACCGCCTAAACATCTTGGCGGTGCAGCCCACCCATTGGCGTCGTCCTTTTGCCGCGTTGGCCAGCGGGGCGTTTCTGCGCTGCTGCGGTGTGCGTTCGCGCACAGCTATGTACAAGATCGTGAGAGTTGAATGTCTTCAATGATGTTGCCAAACGTCAACCACACATAAATAGTATACAAATGCGATTTAAATGGGCGCCCTCAAAATCACGAATTCATTTTGCCAGATCTCACCTAAATCCACCGATCCTGGGAATCCTGGAGCTAGAAATGCCTCATCTGAAGGCAAACCAGATACCCCTTTGTGTACACGCTCTGGGTCATTTGATGTCACCTCTGGAAACCGTCGATGAGAAGCCGCACCGTCCAGTGAGAGACGCAGAAGAAGACGACTTTTCTCCCAAAACCAACGGCTCCGGTGCGTCTGTGGATAGACTCACTCGCGCAAAAGGAACAAACACGGAGCGCTCCGTGATCGAGGAAGGAATATTGGTTCGGCTCATGGGACCAAAAATCTCGGTAGAAACATGTGAAAGCTATAAGTACAGACCTGCCGCCAGGGCTGTTCCGGGTGCTCCGTCTTTCCGCACCAGTGACCAGAATAAGGACACCAATCCCTATCTGAGCACATCAGTCCATCGTCTCCAACGAGCTCGGCGGAGGGCAGCCACTGAGAGTCTGGGACGCCTCCCACTCTCGGCCGGGAGGACGAACAAGAATATGGACTGTATTTCAATACGGGAGACCCCCATCCAATGGGCTTTGGTCTATTTTGCCTCTTCCAGGGGAGTCCGACTGGGAGGTCTGAAAGTGAGGGGGAGCCAGTGGAGGGTCCGTGGTTCTGCAGTCTAATTTATGATAAAACCTTTGACCCTGCGACGTGGTGGGCGCCGATTGAACCGTGAGAAACATGTTATGAATCCCCAGCGCAGTCAAGCACGACGTAGAGAAAACCAGGAACTCATGTGGCTCTCTCTGGTCCTCTCTGCGACACACAGTCTCACAGTACAAGTACTCCTGAGTCAGTTTTTTTGTGAAGCCAGTCGTTTGATGCCGCGGTAAGAATCTGACAAATCAAAAAGCGCTATATATAAACGTTCTTTTGGGCTCCTGTCTGCCCAAACCCGGCGCGACAATGGGCGCTTAAACACATCGAGGAACTCTTCACGGTCGTCCAGGTGTCGCACCGCACTTCTCTCCCACACCAGCCTGTGGTCTCGAAGCAGCGTTGGCAGGGCGCTTCCTAGCTGAGTCCGGCAGCCGTTTTTGGGTCTTCATGCCAACTCCTGATTCATAAACCACCCATATGAAGAGAATGTCCAAATCAACATGGGCAGCATTATCAATCAAGAGTCTACATTACTCAAGGGAACAACACTCCATCCATGGCGCTTCTGGATGTGGGGCCTGAGATAGCTGGAACAAGTCCGTGACGAGTGTGACCGTGAAGAAAAACTGATGAGAAACTGCTTCGATTGCAGGCTGTCTTGACTCTTACTCGCGCAGTCGAGGATCCTCAACAGCAGATTGGTCCTCGGCTCGTTTCGCGGAAGCGTGGCCAATAATCTAGCTGCACTGTGGTCAAAATCTGAGGAAAGTTCGTCTGGTTACTGGTTACTGGTTACTGATTACTGGTTGGTTGGTTGGTCGGTCGGTCGGCTGGTTGGTTGGTTTATATACACAGAGCAGGGATTTGTGATCCCCCTGTGAGTTACCCGGGATAGATTGCGCTGAGCATTTTGTAGTTATATTATATATATATAATATAACTCGAAAAGTTGACCTCCAGGTGCCTACAGAATCATAAGGATGTGTAAAAACCAAGTGTCTACAAGCTGGCCAGCACAAGGGCACTTGAGGCTAGGGACACACTCAAAGGGGGATGGATAGAGATCTGGTCGGAAAATGATCTAAAAACACGCGACACCGCGCATGATACATTCTGGTAGGGATGCAAGTTTTTGCAAGTCAGCTAGAAATCAAGCTGGCAAAAAATCACAACCCATTTTGTAGAGTGTGTCATTTTGTAGTGTGTGCGTCAGTTAAACTCATGTCCTTCTAAAACTGGTTCTATCCAATAGCATCCAATAGCAGTCGATTGAGTGTTTGTTGTTTTACATGTTTTGTTGCTGTCTATTTGGCGATACGTTTGTTCACCATCTTTGACCTGGGGGCAAAACAAAAAGGTGAACGCGTCTTTCATCCTGCGTCCCCATTCTTCCCCCATCTTCCCCCATGCCAGATTTTTTACAACATGCATTCCGGCGTGTTCAAAAACACATTGAATAGGAATGTCCACAGCTGTCTACAAATCAACATTTTGGGGCGCACTCAGATTTCACCTCTACAAAATGCCAAACCTCAAAATGCAGGACACATTTTCCCATTTAAAAACGGCCTCTATCCAATGGTCAACACGTAGAGAAAACATGCAGGAAGATGATATGTGCATATGAACATGATGACAAAAATACGTTTAGCACCTGCGCGCCGGAAAGCAAAGTTGTTCACCACTTATCTTCTTCCCTTCACGTTGTGTGCATCTGTGATCTCAATCACAAAGGGTCAAATCTACACATGATCATCTGGAACAAAGGATATTGATGGCAAACAACTATAATGACGACCTACCTCGGGTTCACGGTCATTACACACATTTGCCCGCATGGGTCTTGGATTTTTATGGGATCCATCGTAATTACATGGGCTCCCTACTCAAGGGCGGTCATGTGCTCCATTCATGGCAAGCAGTGATGAAAATCTTCGTATAATATCTTCGTCAGCGTGACACCCCGCAATCTACGATCTCTTCAAGCACAACTCGCCGCAAGTACAAGGCCGCAAACACATGCCACCCTAAGATCTCCAAAACCAGAACTCACGACATGAAACCCACCTCACCGCCGTCGTTCCGTCCAAGTCTCACAAAACCGCTCGACGAAGGCGCTGGAAGCTGCCGAGGCTTGGGTTCCTCGTCCTGGATGTGGGGGCCCGACATCATGTTTTTAAACAAGAAAAGGTTTTTGGGGATTGTTCTTTGGTGTGCACTTGGGTAAAGGTACTTGTGAAATTTTAGTTCCAACATGTTGTGTGAACAGGGCGGTTTGCCCGTGAAACAACATGCAAGGGCTAGAACAGCATGCCCTTTACAATGTTTTTGCCGTTTCGGGCTAGTCAAGTCATCTTGCAACGCATGAACTCTCAAACGGCCAGTTGAGCTGAACTTTAAAAAACTCAGAGAGCCTCTCACGCATGCCTTTTCTGGTCAGTTGCCGGTCCACTCCAGCCATGACAGGTCCCTGTACATTTGGCCTGGCGGACAGGTGTCTTGCATAGTTTCTCCGTCATTTTTCACCGCGTCAAGCACATTGAGTCCAAGCCCGGGTGTTGGCTAAGCCACAATGCTGATAGGCCATCCGCGTGCTCTCTTTGCAACTTCGCATCGCAACGCCCAGGTCCCCATTCTGCGTAACTGGAGAAGTTTCTTTAGTTGTGATGCCATATTTCGTTCAGTGAAAACTAGCATCTGATCCTGTGTGGGATCCATGACCTCGTCCTGATCATTGATGAAGCATGGTGTTCCTTGTGAGTGGTCCGAAAACACATCTATTCGTTTCTCCTCAAACTTCTGCTTGAACTCGGAAACTCTTGTCTGATGGTAGGCACGATACACTGGTACTACCACTGGTACTACAATCTGACAAATGCATTGATTCAGGTATCTGTCCATCAATGTTGAGAGTCCGACTCCAACGTCTTCGCACGCTGCCATTTCTGCATGTTCAAAAGCTATAGGCTCTGGCAATTGACACCACTTCTGCAAATCGGCAATCATCAGGATCATAAGCCTTTGGGCCGACCTGTGTACTTGGTCCTTGCCAACGACACAGACTTTGTGGTGTTTCTCCGGCAACATTGGCGGCGGCGCCAGTGGTGGCTTGCTTCACGGTTGCAAAGACTTCTTTAGAAGGTGCCTCTTGGAGAGAGACACTGTCGGAGTGCACTCGCTCAGGGGATAGACAGCATGCACATTCTCCGCAGGCACCGCCTGTGCCTGTTCTCTCAAATCCAAAGACTCCGATCTGTCTTCATTTTGTGCACTTGGGAAAGTTCACCCGGCAAAAGCTACAACCAAACCATACCAAACCCGACAGTCAAAAACACATCACATCAGCATGGCTTTGGCAAAGAGACCTCCATCATCGGCATATGTTACGTATCCGCAGATCTGTGCGGAGACTGTGTCAAATCGACCACCGCTTGCCACTCAGCCCGCTTGCGACTCATGTCCGGCGAGTCTAAGATCAACATTGGTCCGCGAGGGCCGCAGCGGAGATCTAGAGCGTACATGTCTGTTCTCCCCAACATCTCTGACTTGTAACAAAGGCCTTGTAAGAGTCCACTATGCACTCCACAGAAAAGGTGTGAAGGACTTGTAGCTTCGGACAAAGTGAAAATTCCAAACGTCGAATACGACCACCCGAAAAATCGACGAGACGAACGAAACGTACAGTTGATTGACAGCTTAGCCATGAAACCTCCTCAAGACGCGGGAGCAAACATCAATGTGGGCATCCAAGGATCAGCCGCCTCAAATGCTGATTCGGGGAAGGGCACTTCAAACCGGACAAACGCAACAAAAGAACTACGACAAACACAAACAAACCTCAAAAGTGGTCCCGGCGCGCCGTGTCCTCTATAAGCCCAAATCGTAACCCGCGCATCATACGAAACATTCTCAACAACTTGCTCCATGTTACAAAGGAAGTGTGTCGAGTAACGAGAGAACGTAGCTGTCCCCAGCCCCCCCATCCCCACAAGACCATGTTGGGTCATCGGGAAGGTTGTCTTCACGGGCAACCCCCGGTTGACCCATTACTTGGATCTACTTGGGAGTAATCTGGCTTCTCTTAGTGCTCTTAGTAGAGCATCCTTGGCGAATCTCAGCGTTACATGTACCCAGCATTACCCAGCGTTGAACACACTTGTCATTCTTGACAATTTGTGCGCTGTCTTTTTTCGAGGTTTTCTGTGTACACCTATGTATAATGAGCTCATCTGTTTGCTTGTGTGCTATTTCTCCTTGCGATGTCCGAATCTCTTTCGGGGTGCTGGCATGCTGGCTCCCAAGGTAACACATGATGGGGGCCTGATTGGACTATTGAAATCTATTGACATGAGTGACGGGCCCGCAATCCAATGTATATCGGTCAGCCCTCTTGGAAACAGTTTGTTTGATGCAAATACAAAGGCCCTAAACTGGCAGCTTGCTGCCACAATACAGCTGCCAGTTTCCACACCACATGTTGAACCAAAGTCCCAGCCTACCGCCTGATGATAGAAGGATTTGTTGGTCATACGTTGTACATCAATGCCCACAATAAGCGCACACGCCATGCAAAAGCACCACATTAACATTAGGGGGGTTGTGGTACTTCCCAACTCTTGATCAGTTGTTGATCAGCTTTGGGGATCTCAAGAATGATGGGGGAAACTGATGCGGTTGTCTGAAATTCTGTGCAACAATTAAGGAAATAACAGTAAAGGATAGTAAAGGCATGTAAAGGCGAAGGCATGTGTTCTGACACGTCAACACGCCCAAATACTCAAAAATCGCAAATGCTCGCTTTTTCGCTTGCGTTCCTCCGAACAGTTCAACAAAAAGTATTGATGAAACACCGGAATGCACCCTTCATCCCTTACGGAAATCCCGACTCCGACCCGCACCTCTTCGCTGGTTGGCTCGTCCAAGGCAAGCTCGTCGTGGCTCGGCGCGAGGGGAAGAGGCACCGGGCTCGTCTGGCCGGCCGGTCGTCTCCACTTCTGGCTTACTGTGGATCAACAAACTCAAACAGACTGATTCCAAGGAAGCGAAAACAGACTCAAACGATACATAACTATAAAACGCATCTGCAGATTTGAGTGATTTGAGAGTATAAGACTAAATGGCGCAGCCATTTGAGAGTGGCAGTGGAGACACGAGCCGGGTTGCATGAACAGCGCCTGAATTTCTGTGGCTGCTACTTGGCAGATCTTGGCAGGATTTGGCAGGCGATGTTAGTCTGGCAAAGACTAACATTGACCCTGACAATCAAAGCTCGCATGGCAGACCTTCGGGTGAGATCCTGAATCCTGGACACAAGTACATTTCCACCCGTGAGTGGGCCATGGGCATACGATGCGCAAAAGTATCAGGTATTGACCAACCACATCCTCACACAGTCTTGGAAGTTTGGGTAACCGTTCCTGGGTAAAGGGCTGCGGTATGCTGCTGGTATGCTACCCTACCTCATAATATGTTGAAGCTGCGAAAGCAAACCCCATCCAGAAACTCTGCCCCGTCACCTCCTCATCCTCATGCTCGTCCTCATCTGTTGCGCCTGCACGAGCGATCAGGGTCTTTGGTTTGACTCCCATCCTGGTGGGAGAGACGCTGCGTGAACATGTGTGAACAGCTCACAGCTCTGAGTCACGAGAAGTACAGAGTCACGAGCAGCACGCTCCGATCAAAAGTAACCAACATACAGTATCATTACCCAATGACAAAGCAAGTAGATTCCATCCCAGTCATGCTTTTTCCCCTTAGCAGATCAGATCGGTCACTCTTCGGTCAAAGAATCCTTCTCCCAACTCTCAAAACGGTCGGTACGGAGTAGCTCCTTAAGCTACGCACGGTGTCGATCGGCCATCGCTCATTAGGTTGGAGGCCATCGCTACGAACGTAACAAGAAGCATCAAGAAGCTACTAGATCTACTAGTAGCTCCTGGTGTCCCCCCTCAGTCTTCGACGCACGCCTGCCGCGTCCGGCAAGCACCTGGACTCGGGCGCCGAGCCATCCAAGGCATCGGCCAGGGCGCTGAGCCGCGCGGCGAACCTGGCCCAGGCGCTGCGGGGGCCCGCTTCGCGGGCCTGTGGGGTACGGAGCGGTACAGTGGGGTTTTTGGGCCCAGTGAAGTTGGCAACTGAAGGATCAGGATAGGTGACGATACTGCGTGATGAGAGGTGATGGTCACAAGAGCCCATGGGAAGAGGAACACTGATGAGCAACTAATCTATTTTCAGATCCCCAGTGTTATGGCTCCGAAGGGAGCTGGAGGTTGTCTTGATTACGCCAGGGCACGTTGCATGCTCCTCACGTTGTTCCACCAGTCTTTCTGCCATGGGCTCCGCCAGCAAACGGTGGCTGTAAGGGCCGAGGTGGCTGTAAGGGCCGAAGGTAGGCTACTCTGTAGGCTATATGTTCAGAATGTTCAAGCATCAAGGGTCTTTGGCTTTGAGCGATCTTCAAGCAATCCTATACATAGACACAAGGAAAGGAACAATTCATCTATATTTACCTCTCTCACTCACTCACTGCACATCTCCCTTCAACCTCTCAACCCTTCAAAATCCTTCAAAGGTGGCACATCACTGCTGCATGGTGCTAACATGTGCTAACAATCTAGCTAGAGGATCGACAATACTGGCACCAGTCTGGGGTGCTGAAAACCAAACGCTGCGGAATGCAGTCCTTGCTCAAAGTCTGGAGACGCCAATTTCGCATCCAAAAGCTACATTGTAAGCTCTGTAGCAGTTTGTGCAAGCATCATGAGGGCATCCCCAATTTCGGAAATGCATGGAAATCCAGCTATTGGGTGTTGGTATATTCATATTGTACCCCTACTGCCAGACTCTCACAGCCCTGCACGGTCTCTTCGTGGCCGTTCGTGGCTCGGCCGTGCACTCCGCCGCCACGGCACTGCGCCCCAGTCCCTCGCTCCCCTGGTCCCGGTTCGTGCACATGCACTCCCTGTGGGTCGACCTTCGAATCTTTATCCTTCGGTTTCTTGGTCGACCATTCACATGTTGGCCCAATCTGAACATGGCGTGGCAACGATTCGGGCTCCGAAGCCCGCGCGAAACGCGACGTAGAACCTCCTGGCTCCCAACTTTTCGAGCCTTGTCAAGACGAGTCAAGTCGTGCATATCAAAAAACTACTGGAGGAAGTGGCTGCAAGATCTGCTGGATTCTATCAAAAGTCCTAAGTATCATGAGGGTTGTTATGTTGGACTATACATGATTATACATGGTTATACTATGGCCCACTGGGCAACTTAGTATCACTTTGGAGAGGTGTCAGCAACATGTAGGCATTTAATCGAGGAACCATTTTGTGCCTAGTCAAGGATCAGTATTCTGTCCTGTTACATTGTAGTTGAAAACAATAATACAGTCTTCAACAAAGCAAGCATGAGTCTGTGCGAGCAAAACTGTTCAGCTATCCAGCTATCTATCTATAAATCTATCTATCTATCCATCCTTCTATGTATCTATCATCTCAGTGTTTACTATGTTTATGCTTGTTTATGTGTCACCATTTTGCTCAAGTGAACTACTGAGCCAAACTGGCTCAAAAGCCCGCCCCGCCCACCCTATATTCATATTATATATATACTGTATATTTATGGAAAGGCCATGAAAGTTCATCTTGCCTCCACAACCACATTTTGACAAAGTTGCAACATCTTGTAATCCGTTCAGCGCGCGCAGCTTCCCGCAGTGCGCGACTAGCAAGTGACAACTGTAAATAGCAAAGCCGTGCAAAGCCTTTGCGATTCAATCATATTCAATCATCATCGGAAAGAATCATGAAATATCTGGGATCAACACCCTTGCGAAAATCACCCAAACATCGTGTTGCCACAGCCAAATCCCCTGTGGATGGACGCGTCAACAAACAAAACTCAAACTGGGGAGTAATCATCCAAGTAATCTCTGGTAAGTGGTCCACCGTGTTGTCCTGGTTTTGCATGGTTTTGCCTATTCTCACATAGACACGCTGGCCCGGGCTGTTGAAGGGACATGGAATTTGACAGTCTCCATATGTATCCATCTTTGTGTAGCAAGCAGCAAATCATATCTCTTGTCTTGGTCGGTAGAATCCCACTACTCTAGCTCTGCAGGGGAACTCTCTGAGTGTCTGAGTGAATGCTGCACTATGTCAAGCACCTCTCGTTGCAACTTTCTTGAATTGAGGCATGCAAGATCATATGGCTCGGTCAGCCAAAAAACGCTTGTAGCAGCTTGACACAAAGAATGTCTCTGCCAAGCGCGCAGTTCATTTACATCTTCATTCAACTCTCTATGCACCCCGGCTGGTTTGGAAGAACAACTTTCTGCATCTCACTCCATCAACATCTCTACTCCCAAGACCATGATGTGCATTCATGTGTATTGAACATGTTGCAACACCGAACGGGGCACAGCGTCAACGTAGCAGGAGCGGACACTCGGTCGGCTGCGGTCGGTGGTTGACTTGCCCGCTGTCGACTTGCCCTTTCGATGTGTCAGGTTACATCTTGAGCCCACCTCTCTTAGTCACATGAGCGTCCCTTCAAGCGACTCAACAAGGAAGAAAACCACGGCATAAAGGTGTGTGAGATGCAAGTTTTGAGTTGAGGGTGACTTGACCACACACCCCACTTGATAGATCTTGTTAGTACAATTTTGCCTCTGGGGTACACTCCAAGTGCCACTGCAAGACTATGCGTTCAAAATCATTCAACACTATGTGGACATCCAATAATGCCCCCCCACTGGATTTTTGTTATCAGTCGTGCGAGGAGCCTTTGCTGAGCTCTACAGGACATGAATGGAATCATGGGGACGGCATACACTGTCTACTTAGTTCTGCCGGCACACCTGCTTAAGTGGGCTTAGCTTTGCTCTTCCCACAGACTACGCGTGTGCAGGGCAAGTCAGCTCCGAGGTCACATGGCTGAGGTCACCTGAACAGTGGGTTGAGTTCGTCGTTGACCCATGGATCGGCCAATAGCGTTTCAAATCGAACGCCACGCAGCAGGGGCTGACTCCTCAGGAAACCTCAAAAGTGTCCGCCAACTGTGGTCCCCGCCAGCTGCGCCCGGCAGGGGGTCGGAGGTAAGCGCATGGGGAGGCCGCAAAGCGCCTGAAGGGACGTGGACGTGGACGTCACCTCTGTCAGTTGAGACCCAGCCGACTGGGCAGTCGGTGATGCCAAATGGTGGTGTGACATGTAATTCGTCTAGATTCCAATCAACGAACATCCCCGCACCAACACCCACACTCTCAGAAAGAGTCTTACATCGGGCTGTCCATGTTGTTGGAACCAGCTTAGTAGCCTGAATTGTGACAAATTGAATTACACATTTTGAAAACTACTCTAAAGTCCTCTAAAGGTACCAGGAAAACATCCAATTATGATTGTGTATGAAAAGAACGGCTATGTCACCTCAAAAATACATGATCGCTGCAACGCCTTCCTCCGTCAGCAGAGTCATGATAATTTACAATCCCCGGAAACGACTGCAATGGTCACTATCAAGAAGAGATCTTCTGCCCTTGGTATTTCTTCAATAAAAAAGCAACACATACTAAATCAATGAATATGACTAAAACTATATACTCGCTGTATCTACTACGATATACTACGTATATATATATATACTCTTGCCATGCACGATTTGCTCCAAAAAAAAGAGGAAAAACAAAACCAACAAAACGCTGCCCACGTCGCACAAACGTCGAAAACGGGAGTCGCACCCAGTTGAGATGTCCTTTCGGATCACGCACCATGCACACGGCAGTCCTGGTGAAAACACGGTCGGTTCGGGTCCCAGTGCCGGACAGTGGTTCCATCTACCACGTATATTCGACGGTACGAGCGGTCGACCACATCGGAAAACAACAGTTGAGAAGAAATCAACACAAACTATATAAAATATTATAAAATAAAGAAAACAAAAACTCGGCATCTCATGCAGGTGAGCCGTAGACTTCCATGATCTGCAAAGCAGCATGTGTTGGATCGAAACTCTGAGGCGCATACTTCAAGTCTGGCAAAGGACGCACCTGACCAAGAGCGCTGAGATCGCTTTGAGCCGACTCCAACAGCAAAAACGACATGATGACCTGCTGCTACCAGGACTGCTGACGGAGCTTTAGGTCTCCAATCGCTGCGATCGCACAAAGAATCAAAGGCCAAAGAAACGATCCCGGCCGTGTCTTCTGAGTGCTAAGTGTTTATAGTAGTCCCCAAATAAATAGAAATGGTGTCCAATGCATTTTTAGATATGTTTAGTAGTGTAGTAGTGATCTACTAACTTCATCTAACTTCTATCTATTTGGGGACCACCACTATCAGTGTTGAACATGTTTGAGCCGAATCACCTGTCTGAATCGTTCAAACTGGTCGACCAGTCCAGAAGGAGAGAGATCGGGCACAGTTCCCGGCAGAGTCCGACCAGCGCTTCACCCAATCATGGCTCTAGAGGCCCTGGAGATACGCCAGGATGGACATTTATAGGGGAAATAAATGGAAATAGCTCGTCCACGATCTACCACCTTAACACATGGATCCACGTTGAGATGTTTTTAAAGCCTACCGCCAAGATCTCCCAATCTCGCGGTAAAATCCGCCTGCACGGCCTCCACTGGCTCCGCACATGGCGCAGTGGGTCCCGATGGCGCGGCAGGTGCAGGCGCCTTCCACGGGAGATGATTGATCATGATTGATCATTGAGGGTGCATTCCCTGTGCCCAGTGGATGATGATGGTTCGTAAAGGCCAAACTCTTAAAAAATCGTGAGAATCTCTCGGTGGGAATTCCAGAGAGGGTCATAGACCCTGATTCTGTAGCGAAAAAATTCCCTCCAGGATGGTGAGCAATCGTTAGTTTGACTGTTAGGTCGTCATGGGATGTATGGTCCCACCAGACTTCAAACATCCAGATCATCACATCGACCCGAAGGCATGGGGGCTCTTCGCTTCCTCGGATGATCCGTTCGTTCGGCGACTCTTCACTGGGGGCGTTCACATGAGCGGGCACCGGCAAGCTTTTCCTCATGCGTGCCAAGCACTCCTTCGAATGCTTGCTGTTGCCCTCAGTGGATATTCACCGATTTCGGTTTTCTCCTCACTTCAGTGTCTATTGCCAATGCTGTTGCCCTGCAGTATGCCCTGGTCTCTGCCTCCTCCCCGGTCATCCCACACCATGAGTCGGATGTCTGGGGCGTTTTCTCGGTGGGACACCGGTTCCCCCTGGGTTCCGCACCTGCTTTGGCTTAGGCCTGAGCAACATGGCAGGTCCAAGGTTACTTGAGAAAAAGACGCCCAAAGCGTCTTTAACTTCGTAGATCCCCACGTCAAGTTCCATGTCGAGAGGAAGACGTGCGGGCTCAGTATCTCTTTGGGGGACCACGATGTCCTTCCAAATGTTCATTTCGGCCTCGTTGTCAGCATCCGGTAAATCGTTTTGGAGGGCAACCGTCCGGTCCACTTCCCCCCCCCCAAGCCCATCAGACCGGTATGTTGTTCTTCACTCACTGCACTGCACCATGCGGTCTGTGCCGGCCGCGGTCGCCTGGTGGCCTCGCGCCTCCGAAGGTCTTCAGCCCTTGCCTGAGCCAAACGAGCCGAAGCCCAAACGGGTTGAAGATGGATGAACATGGATTATCCATGATGATCCATGAGACATCAGAATCATGTCAGTGTGCTTCCAATGTGTTCACAGTCAGCCTCCAAACATGAGCCAACCGCCAAACAGGAATCATTCGGAATCATCGAAAAGGACCTGTTCTGATTCATCATCTCAGTTCTTCCCGTTCTCAACTCCCCTCAAATTCCAAGGCTCCCCAGCCGCGTTGTATTCTTCCAGAGAGATTCGAGCTGCCACTCCATCTCCACACACACTATCCACGACCGTCAGGCGCCTGGCGTTGTTAGATGGCGTGGTTGGTGGTGAGGTGGTTGGAGCGAAGAAAGAAAATCCTTTCCCCAAGGTGAAGCATGGAACCTGAAAGAATGAAGATCGATTCCGCCTTTGGCAAGTGGAGGGTATGGAAGAGGGCCTGGGCCTTATATCTTTTCTGCTTTCACCCGAATCTGTTCATGCATGTTCTTATTTGTTTCGACGCGGTGCCGATCTGAAGCACCCATCACCAAGTCCAATCCCAATGAGAGCAGATCGGCTGGAGCTTCAAGATGATCTCGTCCAACCTCTCTGGGTGACAGCCGAATGTTGCTGCACAAGAAAGAATTACAGTAAACCCTATTGGGAGAAGGTGGGAGAAGGTTTGGGTGATGAAAGATGGGTCACACAAACGTCTGTGTAGCTATACATGTATGTTTTCTCTACGTGGTGGCTATAGTACCCCCGGACTTCAAACAAACACATCCGTATATGTGTTCGCAAGGCAGGCATAGCGGCATTCAAAAGCCCTCCGTACCCCACCGGCTCCAAAAACAAAGTAATGTTGGGCGATTTCACGCTTGATATATTAACCACACGGGCGTTGGCTTTTGGCTCAGGCACACCCGTCTTTCGGCTTGGGGTCTGCATGTCTCAGTCTCAGCCCTCCGCCACCGAGTTGCTTCATGTTGCTTCACCAGGGATACCAGGGGTGACCGGGATCCACCTTCATTTCGATCCCACCAGGCTGGTCGGACCAGGCGGCGCGGACGTTGGGAGTCGGGTGAACTGGGTGCAATTGATGTCGGGTGAACTGGGTGGGTGGATTCGGGGGGATGGATTCCTAGTTCACCCAAGTGAACTTATCCATACTTATCCACTATATGGTATTCACAACTAGGAATTCCAATTCCACATACTGAGTGGTCAGAGCATTCGCCCAAGGTTCTCCCTGGAAGAACTCAGGGAAGCGGAAGACACTTTGACCAACACCTCCAGAGAAAGCTCACTGGAGAAAGCTGTGGGCGGCCCGGCTTGAGCTCGTTCGCATGGTTGGCCTAGCGGAGAACCCAAGAACTCATCGGGAAATCAGCAGACCTGTGTGGACACTAGAAGTGCTGAATTTCCGGTGTCCCACGTGTTTTTCTTCAGAAGCCAAGGATTCTCAAACCATCGCAAACCTTGAATTCCTGGGGCCCCTAGACTAGGCCTTCGGGTTGATGAAGAATGTCGAGAATGGTTGCTCAACAGCCGACTTTGTTGGATTTGTTCCGAGTGAAATGCCTGGAACGTCTCGCCCTTTCTGCTCATTTGCTCAAACGATCCCCATTTGATCCCAAATCCATTGAAAACGATCCCAACGGTGAACCAAACGGTTGTTTTTCCGACGTTCGCCATAGTTTGCCCGCCGTCTGAAGACGTTGTGTTAGTCTGGATCTGAGGTCTTGAAGATCATGGATCTCAGGTTTTCAGGGCTTAGGCTTTTGAAAGGCCCTAAGGTCCAAAGCCAGGGCTTCGGAGCAGAATACCCTCATGGAGTCCATGGAGAAGCCCGATCCCTCATGGCTCTTGTTCCGAATCACCGGTCGAGCTCGGCCTCTTGACGAAAGGCCACAGAGCAGTAGCTTGACATGAGAGCACTCACCTCGTGAGAGGGCCAAATGGATCGAAACCATGAACCCACTCCACTGCGAGAGGAGATGCAGCAACTGTTCGTTCTCATGGATACGCCCCCCGCGAGACTTGTTCCCCTGTGTTTGACGAGAAAAAAGGCAGTGTGACAACCGTGAGTTGGCAATTTCAACACGGATGAATCACACCTGTCGACATTCCATGTATGTCATATTTGCCGATCAGTTGGGGTGGTGCCAGGGAGGTCAATGGGGCGGCATAAATGGCAGTCCCATGGAGTCTTTGAATCACAGTTACTCGTCCCAACAAACGAGACGTCGATGGAGTCTGGAAACGTCGACTGCTGCGCAGCAGTAGCTGCTACCGAGAGATGAACCACTTTGGATCATGCAAGATCATACATCTTCCTGCCTACAGGCTACTGTATCTCGGCTACCATCATGTACGATTGGTTGACTCGAAAAAGCTCCCCCTCGACAATCATGATCATCTGCACATCTATATAGATATATAGTCAAATGACGTCAAAAAGTCATTTGAACAGCACGGTCGGAGCAGACAATATCTGTTGCCACTTAATCCATGCCCCAATATACCTTAATTACGAATTAACCCTCCCACACAGCACCTGGCTTTTTGCGTGAATTTGTTTAAGTCCCAGGGGTGTTACATTGGACGAGTCAAATAAACTCTACCCCATTGCAGTGAAATGAACATTCAACTCGATGAAGCCTGGAAACGTCAACTTTGATTCTGGTGCGACTTAAAAGTGAGTACAGTCTGAAGACTATAACGTTCCTATAACTATAATAACCAGAACTATAACAATCAGTCGAGACTCAGTCCTCCATGGCCCTGGGCAGGGGCAGTGGAAATTGGCTGTGGGGTGCGAACACTGCCCAAGCAACCAACATGTTTGCCGGTTTGTTGGGATGGTGCGATCCACGGTGGAGTTGGAGGGGTTTCCATGGGTCGTCAGCCGAAGGCTTTGAACTGTTGGGCACTCAAGACCTCCAACCCCACCACCACCGACGCCCGAGATCCACTGAGACTCCAACCTCGCCGTACTTCGCGCCCCACAGACCCCGTCGGACTGCCCCGACGCCAGGACCCACCTGCGGTTGTGGACATGGCGCGAGTGGCAGGCGACAGTGGCGGGGGCAGCTTGGAATAAGTATGGCACGTGGTGAGAGGCTAGAAGAATGAAGCCGGCCTGCTGGCTGAAACATAGGTTTCGTATGGTTTCGTAAATGTGGACTGGAATGAAATTGGACACCGTGAATCGCATGCCCGAACAACCATGGCAAGCAACATCTCACGAAACCCATCAAAGCCCCAAAAAACTACTGTAGATCAAACATGATCAACATAGTTCACGCTAAACCATGAAAAGCCCGAAACCGCTTCACCTTAGATGTTCACCTTGACTCTTCGCATCGTCTCAGCTTCCCAGCCCAATGGATCAGCACGTGCTTGGTGAGGCCACGCGCACGCCTAGCTTCGAAAAAATGGCATGACATTGCATGGACAATCGATTTGGCATGTGGATTTTTGAAGTCTCCAAACCATCCCTCGATGTTGATCATGTTCCCTCTACCAAGTCTGGTGGGTCCCATCTTCATGCTGAGAAAGCCGTGCCAGCAGCCAGCAGCTCAGACTGACTCAGATGACCCTGTTCGTCAAGCACCCGTCATCATCGTTTTTGGCAATTTGGCGACCAGTCAGTCAATTGAACACATATGGCTATGGCTGTGTGTGTGTCTTGGAATAGGGAGACCAGTCAGTCAAGACCTCCAAATTTGAACCCCTGGAAGAAGGAAAATAGACCACACCCCGGTGCTGGAGGGTTTCCCTATTGAAATGTACACCCACATTCTTGCGGGTCAAAGCACCGTTCACAGCGCTTCAACTTCCCCCCAGGACCCGCGGACTCGGAACCCCGACCCATCGCCGGGTGGAACGCCTGGAAGACGAGAAAACCGAAGGCGCGACAACACGAAAACCACTTGGTAGCTCGTGATCCTCAAGAGATTTCACGGACTTGTCCGAAACTTCATCCTTCTATAGATCTTCATCCACCAACTGCTCCCTTTGGGCATCGTTGAAACATGTTGAAACTGTCTGAGTACGCAACAGTTCTGACATGGGAGTGGGTGGCGGCGATCCAGCCCAGGGCTCATTTGTTTTGGCAAGGTCCCCTGCACTCCTTTGGAGTAACGATCTTCCGATCAAACCAGCGAATTTGGCTGGAGATAGCAACGGTTTCCATGCAAACCTTGTTGCGCATCATTGAATCTGTAGTACTTACTTGTAGTCGTATAGTATCTGCAGTCTGCAGTCATATATGATACAATTTATACAAAGAGTTTGTGCATATCCATAAGTGTGCCTTAAACATCAATATACTGTCAACGGATGTCAACGGCATCAGTATGTCAACGGATCTATGGGGCTTGAAGGACCCAGGTGACGTGTGACGGCAATGATTTAATGAGTGATTGCACTCCTGGTAGAGTAGTTAAGATTGCTCAAAGCAGTTAAGTGTCAGGAGTGCAATCAGTCACTACTCTACCGGGTCTCTTCCAATGTGGAAGTGGGCAAACAGTGTCAAGCCCCCTTGAAGGCCACTGCGATTAGTTCTATGGCTTTGCTCTTGGTGCAACAATGCATTACATACTTGTGACGGCATCGGCACATGTTGCAATGGCTTTTTGAGCAAGTTAGTCACCATAAATAGCAACCTTGAAGACAGCACACTAAATTATGCAGGACATCATTCCGAAGACATCTCTGAATCTATATAACTTTGGGGACAGACTGATTCAGAAATTCCAGAAACCACCTCCGCAAACCGCAAACAGTCTGAGCATCTCTGGGCATCCCCAACCGAAAGAGAGTCGCAACAGTCCAAAGAGGACCCGGTCATGGCTCAAGTTGGCCTGGCCAGTCGCGGAGATATCGTCATGCAAGAAGCATCCGAACTGCCTGAAATCATATAGTAGTAGTGGTCCCCAAATCGATAGTGGCACCGTTTCCAATACATTTTCTACGTGGGGACCTCCAAACGTCTATCTATTTGGGGATCACTCTAAGTCTATAGTGGAATCTAGGCAATTTGGAGGTAGCCTTCATGACGCTGCGCGGAACACATCGACTCGGCTCCCGCCGCGCGGAGCCCGCCGCGGCGCTGCCTGAAGCTCCTCAAAGCCGCCCGAGCCAGCGGCAAAAAGGCAAAACCTGCGCAGCGACTGGTGAAGCAACTGATATCCCCTGATGGGATGCACAGGGTGCGGTGAGCCAAACATGACCGTTCCCCTTCTCCGTTCGGAAAAGGGGAATGCGTTTGGCTCACCTCAAAATCCTAAAGGTCGCGAAGGCGCTTAGGCGAACTTCGGGGGTCTAACTTCTGCACCTCAGACCCTCAGAAACCCGGCAGGGACATGTTGGTGGATTGGCTACGAGTGATCATGCGACCAATCCATCTTGATCCCCCCAAACCCACCCAATCAGTAATCCCTTGTCTAAGTATATAAACTTTTTTGAAAAATTGCTCAGGCGGGATCTGGAAAGCTTGGGACCTGCCTCCCAGGCTCAAGGAGCAGCCAATCATAGAAGCCCTCCTGGGCCACCTCCTGCAACGCCTGCGGTCTTGCACCCGGCGGTCTTGTGCCCGGCGCAGCCGGATACCAATGAAGACGTCTGGAACGTCTAAAACTGACCCGACAACCCTAGTCCAGACCTGATGTAGGGGTGTGTGTGTGTGTGTACTATGGAGCATGTGGAAGATATGGCATAATGGCACGCCTTTCATTGGCAATATGACATAATAGTCCCGGCAGCTGGAAATAGAAACGGCATCGAGGACACTGTTTTCAGCTCTGCACATAACATGTTCAAGCGATGCACAAACACAAACAATTTCTGGCCTGGTCCAGCGAAATCTCTCGTTCCTCTCGCTGTGGCCTTGTACCACGTGAATCCAAGCTGGCAACGTGGACTTTCAAACAGGTGGGACCCTAGAAACCACAAGGAAATAGACGGTCCCGGAAGACACATGTTTGCAAAGCCAACTCGCAGGGACAGTTATAGTGAAACTGTTTAGGATGTTGTCCACTCTCAACTTCCACTATACTAGAGAATTTTGAAGAGGCTATTTCAGCACACAGTTGGCCCGAAGTCCGCCACTTCCAAAGTCGCTAAGCTACACTCAGTTCCACACTCGGCTGGCCGCGCAGCCTGCTGCGGGAGATTTGGCCATTGGAAATCCTACCAAGTCACGCCAAATCATGTTGTTCGTTCAGTACAGATGTTGCATGAGGTGATCCTGCCAAAAAGGAGGGCCTTAGGAAGGCCGGAAGGCACTGGTTCCCTGCAACAATACCCAGCACTGAGCTGCAAAGGAGTAGGAAACAACCCACGCAGAAGCGAGCAAAAAATATTCCAGTAGTAGTAGTAGTGGTAGTAGTAGTAGTAGTAGATAGTAATAGTAATAGTAATAGTAATAGTAGCAGTAGTAGTAGCAGCGGCGAAAAGCAAGATATTGTTTGTTTGCTTGCTTGCTTGCTTGTTTGTTGCTTCAGTATTGTTTTGTTGTTTTCTTGTTCGGTTTGTTTGTGTTCTTGTGGGCCGTTCCAAAAACGCTGGAGAAAAATAGGGGGGAGGAGGGCGCAGCGGTTCGCCTGAAGCATCCCAATACAGGCTACAGGTAGTTTGCATGTAGGTCTTAACTTTCGGCAAGCTAATATGGTGGCCGAGCTCAGAACGGGGTTCTCACCTGGTGGCACTTACCGTGTTTTGCAAAATACAAGCACGCACGCACGCACGCACGCACAATCAATTAGCTATGATACATGAGCAGTATTTGTGTGACGTGGTACTTAACTTGCTTGGTTGATGCGTTGATTCCTTCGAAAGCGTCAATCAACTGGATGCACGTGCCGCAAACGGCGGACCCATCCGGTGAACAGGTCTTCCAAGCCATCTCCCCTCGAAGGTCAAGGTCTAGGCCCCACTCAAGCCATCGTCCCCGGTCCATGCGCCTCACACGCAGACCGCCGCACCGGCCGTGCCGTGGCGCCAGAACGGCGCGCGGGACGGCGCTCGGGCGTGTCAATGCTCGGCGCGCGGAGCGGCTCGTGGGCACGTTTCTGGGAGAGTTCCACCTGGCATCAATGGAAGGTGGCAAACGCAGGTGAAAGTAGAGGTCTGAAGGGGATTCTCAGCTTTTTTGTGCTGCGCCTAACCCTTCAGGTGTGGCACCAAATGCGGTTGCAAGATTGGACGGGCTTCTCAAGTGGCCTAGCCGAGACATATTAGACTCATTGTTCCAGGTGTTCAGTCGTGACAGCGACATGTCGGATATGTCTGGCTTCATGTGACCTGTGTATGTTTAACATTTGGAGACCCCCTTTCTCGCCCAAAATTTGGTACGCTGTTGGAGACCCCCCTTCCTCCCTGTGCAAAAAGCATATGTAAGCCTAACTACACCATATTCATTTGAAATGGGCATTTGGTATTCTGAAAGGGCCTATTAAATAGGCCTATTATTGTCGGTCTCCCGGTCTCCGTAAACGACGACTGGAATGGACTCGGTACGACTGGAGCTGACGCCATGAGAGCTGCTGACGAAGCTGGACCAATTCATTGACCAAGGGATACTCACTTTCCGTCACTGTTGCTCTAAGGGATACTCGAAAATCGGAAAAGGCAATTGATATCAATTGATCCTTTCCGTAATCCTTTATAATCACACTGTCACCAAACACATGCGTGACTGCATGACTGAAAGAATCACGAGCAAGGCATCTGTCTGCCCCTGAGGCAAGGGTGTCAATTCTTGACCCCCAGCCCCACCCGCCATACCTGTCTTCTTAGCAGCAACCAATGCCAGTTGTACACTACCATATGCCGCGCATCTCTAGCTCAATTGGCTGTGGGTCAAAACCGGGCTACCTGGGTTGACCACCAAAACTGAACGGAATTGACTTTTGAGGAGGTCAACCTACCCTGGTTTGGGGATCCGGGTTTTGATCCACACAGCCCAAGACCCGGCCAACGACCCGGCCAATCCGTCTTCGGAACTCGGCTGCCCGGACCATACTCTCGTACTCACTTTTCAATGCCTCCCAACCGGGCCCAAGACTGCCCAACTGTCGAGCGTGTGAGAAACAGCGCACAGTCCAAAAACACTCCACGGCGTGACATAGGAATATCAAGAACTATTGAACCTAACCAGAGTGATATCTGATATTAAAGTGGTACCTGCAAATCCAATCGCTGTGCTCTCAGGCCTTCGTTGATATATTGGTGGCAGTGAATGCTCTCGGTTGTTTGGTTGCCTCAAGAATATATCATCGATCAATGAGTTAATTGCCATTCCCAAATAGTGGACGAGACAACATGAGAAAACAATATCTTCCAAACCAGCCAAACAACGATATTCTTCCAGACCACCCGGGTGTAACAAGAAGTTTCCAGATCACCCAGGTGTCTATGACAGCAATGTGCACATCTTCAGCCACCGCCACCGCCTGCAGCGAGTAGTATTCCATGTGGTCCGTCGAGAAGACCGGCAGGAGGCGCTGCGAAGACCGAGAAAAGCTCGAGCAGATCGAGCGCCCGAGCTTAACGGTAGATCGATGGCAAGCATTCCGTTTGGCCCAGTGGATTGATAACGGATCATTTCTCAAAACTGCATGGCACAAAATTCCGCTGTCGTTGCCATGTGCCAAAGCCACGTGCCTTGCAACGGACCTTGAACCTCGACGAAGAGTAACCCAAAACTGACCCAGGGAAAAAGTCTTGGAAAGGACATAAAAGGACATGTTTCTAATTTTATACCTTTCTTATGCATGAATGTAAACTAACAAGAAAAACCAAAACATGTCTTGACTCAAAACCCTCCAAGCACCGGTCTGACCTGGTCCAAAGACACTTCTCGGACCGAAGCAAACGAAGGTGAGCACGACGCTTCTCGCCTCGCAGAGGTGGTCGATGGTGAGCTCCTTGCTGCAGGTCACCTGACCGGTGCCCGAGTTCATGGACTTTTGAGTTCTTGGAGAAGCAAAGAGAGTGGTGACCAATGACCATCATGACTCCAAGAGGTTTGGTCATTGGAGAAGTTCAATGACCATGACTCCAGCTGGTCTCTGACTCCAGCTGTGGTCACTGACTTCGAAGACAAGTGAAGCCTCTCAAATCCTCAGAAGTCGGAATTTTCGTGACCTTTCCAATTATATAACTTCCCTGGTCCCTGGCAGGAACCTATCGGATAGCCTATCGTCTCACTTGGTTTTTTCCAACTTCTCAATCAAATGTCCCACTGAACCAGGCTAAGATGACTGAAGTCACGCTCGCGCGACAAATCCCAGGGTTTGGAGTGGCAGGACCCTCTGCCCCACGCAGACCCCGGGTCCCGCGTGCTTACGTGCTCCCGGTGGCCAGGACGTCTCTACCACAGTTTCCAAACCTGCGATCACCGAAATTCGACAAGTCTCCCGCCAGTGTTGGCTTTTGAGATGCCCCGTATAGTATAGTCTATCATTATTACATAATATATAACTATATATATATATGCTGGATTATGCTGGATGGCTCTCTCCTGACGTGTTCCACCGCCCCGCGCCACTCGGGCGGTAAACCCCAACACTCCGCCTGGAGGCTCGCATTCACTTCGCCCAACTCTCTCAGCACCTGAGTCCACCGCGCCCCCGCCGCTCGCATTCACATACCCCCGGTTGCACCGGTGCACCACGCACCGGTGGGAGGGGCAGATGGTCGCCATCACCGACATGTGCTACATGGGGCAAATGAAGTGAATCTACACCACGGAGTCAATCCAAACACCACGGAGTCGATCCAATCCAATTGAAAACATGATCTAATATGCGATCCCCACACTGCATGTGATAGGGACACTCACTAATGAAATCAGTATACTATAGATCTGCATGAATCAGAGGAATTTGAGCAATGAATACACTTATAACATCTTATATATATAAGTATATTTATATAGTTATTGCGAGTGGATCTTAATCAGCGAAGTTTGAAGCTATCACTGACGATCCATAAGCGGCGTAGCGTCGGAACGGAAACCGCACCTTTTCTAGTCGCTTGATCCTTGAGCCAAAGTACATATGGTACATATATATGTACAAGTTGCACTGTACGTGTCGCTGCACTTCCATTCGCAGTTATATATACAATACATAGACTATCATAGACTTATAACTTGTTAAGAAAACAAGACCCTGTTTCTGCTTGGGGTGCCATCTAGACCATTTGTGAGCCTTGGATGCTATACCGCATATGTTTCATGAAACATGGTACCTAGTAGACATGTCAAACCCTGCAATGTCTTTTCTGTCCATGAAAGTCCGGTCCTCCTGCAAAGTCCGCCAACGTGGACGGAACGCGAAAACCCGGCCGAAAACTCCTCGTGACTCGTCGCCGAACAGTCCCGTCCCGTCCACCTCGGTGCTGCGAGCATTCAGCAAACCACGTTGGAGTGCCTCGGCTCCGATCGGAAAATCATGAAACCAATTCTTATTTTGATGAATGGAAGTTCCTCCAAACACGGAGCAGTTCCAATCATTTTTTTGATGATCTTTGTGAGAAGGATTTCCCATGTCCACACTTGTGGCTGGGCTTCGTGCTGGTGTCCTGGTGCCATTGAACTGGATCAAAACCATCTTGGTTCGCACCTGAACGCCAGCAACAACGACCAGCAACCAAAGTATGTTTAGCGACCTTAGGTGCATGCAGAATCTCTTCCAAAGGTCTTCCAAACCAAGCTTCGGTCAAAGGCCATGTAGGAAAGTGATTGTCTCTGTCTGGGGTTCCCTGCAAAAGTGCCTCCTCCCACCTGGAATCGCAACAAAGCCCAGGCCACCTGAGGTCAAGGTCATTGAAGCATCGTTTTCCCCTCACATTCAATCTGAAGATGCCGAGCCCGGCCGAAGCCAACAAAAAATAAAAGAATATATATATCCTGGCAAGAGACCCCAAACAGTGTGTTTAAAGGCCTAAGGTCTAGAGGTGTAGACGCAAACCGGTCTAGAGATCTAGTCGCAGTGGGTTCCATAGAGAGGTGAGGGTGGTGATGATGGTGGTGATGGCGTGATGAAGGTGGAGACATGGTGATGGTGGTCGTGGTGATGGTGATGGTGGCGGCGATGGTGGTGGTGATGGTGGTTGTGGTGGTGACGGTGACGGTGGTGGTAGTGATGGTGGTGATGATGGAAGCGATGGTGGTGATGGTGGTGGTGATGACTGTGGTGGTCGTGGTGATGGTTGTGCCACCTACACCAGCAGACTATGGAACCTGAAAACATGGACAAGCTGCCGTTCCCAGATAGTACTCTGCAATCGCCCTCATTGCAGCAAGAATCTGGGCATGACGTCCAGTGAACTTCAAGCCGTCACGCCCCAGTCTGGACCACCACCCTATAGATCAAATTCGACTATTAAGATTGGAATATCTAATATCTTAGCTGTATTCGTCAGAAACCTATGATCAGTTAAAATATGTAAGACTGTCTATAGATAACCTAGCCTCAACCTAACCTCAACCTAACCTTTAACTTTTGGAGGTTAGGGTCGTTGTAAACACAAACAAACTGCTGGGCAATGATTCTCCAAAAAAGGCAGACCTCCTTTAAATAAGCTGTCCACAATGCTTCCCAATATATGCAATGATTTTCCAATATATGTATCTTCTCTTTTCGAATCTTCTCCAATAGAAAAAACTCCAATGAATAGTGGCTGCGCACAGTGGCAAAAGGCTCATGTGGCAAGATCAAGCCAATGGTCTTCTTCTGGTTTCCCTTGAAAGGAACTTGAACATAAAAGAGATGAGGTAAAGAGCTACTGAAGTATTTTTCCACATCCCTGTGCATGTTGTTAGGGTACCTGCCACCTGTGCCCAAGCCAGCTAAGAAGTCCAAATCAGGCAAAGAACTTTCAGACTGCTGCAAGTGAGGAGAAGCCTCGCTGGCCAGGTCCTGGGCCCATGCCCAATCCTTCAGCAGCTTTCCAGCCAATTGGCTTGGTATGGCCTGGTTGTAGTCTCTCATTATTCTTCTCATCAGCTTCACGCATTCTTGCCATCCATGTCCCAGCCGAAGCACAACACTTGCAAATTGTTTGCTGCATTGTGGGTATAGTCATGACACTGTGGCGCATTCCACAATATGGATGCATTGCGCTACGGAACTTGTGAGTTGACCTGGCTGCCAGGTTGTTTTTGTAATAACAGTAAAGCAATGCAAGCATCTCACCGCTTTGAAGCTGTAAGGGTTGAGGCGCTTTATCATGAACAACGCCTGCAATACAATTTTGAACGGGTTAATACCACTTGCATTCTCTCCAATGTTTCCTTTACTCTCCACATGACACTCTCCAACATCACATTCTCCAATATGACACTCTTCAACATTCTCCAATATGACACTCTTCAATACTGAGCCAGATGCTCACAGCAAGCAAGCAAAGAGCATCTTTCTGCCAGCTGTGTGGTGTCTCAGCTGACTTTGCAAGAGCTGGCTTTGTGTCAGCGATGGCCAAAGAACCTGTTTGCCAGGTCTTGGTTCATATTGGTAGCTTCTTCTAGGCACAACCATGCTTGCCACCCAGCCTGAAATTGTGTAACTCTCCAATGTTTTCGTTGTCGCCATTCATAGCCCCTGCTCACCACATAGTCACCAGGATACACAGACATAGCATAGTTCCCAGCAACCCAAGTGAACTCACTGCGGTCTTTCAGCAGTATGTGTGGCACAATTTTCATTACACATAGGGCATGTGTCAACATTGCAAGGAAAAGGATTTGAGAGCTATATTCACAAAGGCAAGAAGCCACCTTTGGCTGGTCGTTGATCCGGGTATGGATGTAGCCCACAATACCAGCAGCCATGACACAGTGAGCAATACCAGCAGCCTTTGGCTGCAACAACCCAGCTGCGAGCCTGAATTTACAAGAATATCCCTCACATTGCTTGCACTACAGCACTGTCGAGTCAAGCCACATCTCTCCCATACGTGGAAATAAAGCAGTCTACAACACATACAAGCTCCTGCACCCGTCACGAAAAGTCGACTTAAAATCACCAAAGCACGAGGTTTCCCTGGCATGCCACAAAATTGTGATCACCAAGTCTGAAAATGCGCACGGCACCACAACGAGAGCGCAGTCTCGAAGAACACCTGCTCGGGCCCACCAGATTCTGCGAGCCTGCGCAGTCGAAACGCACGTCGAAGATCTCGAGGTGAAAGCACCTCGATCAAACACCTGTCCTTAACCCCTACCGTAAAAAAACCCAGTGTCGCCACACTGTTTGGGGAATAAAAAGAACAACAACATGAAACACTGGACATGAAAGGCAAAAAGATTGCAAAGGTAAAGGACATGAAAACGTGGAACCTTCTGCAAATCCCAGATCTAGGTGGATCACACTGCGGTCGTCGAGTTGCCTGGCCAGCTCCTGGCGAGTCATGTGTGGATGAAATAGGATGAAATACCACCACAGTAGACCAGTGCCACTTAGATTCACTTAAAAGGTGGTTATGGACCCCCCAAACCATGCATGCCACATGGTGAGGACAGTTTCGCAAATCTGGCTACATTCAGTGGGCATGGTGCTGGCGGAAAAACTCTCGCGTTTTCTGAAAACGGGCTGCTTCATGATGGTCTTCACATGTCTTCATGCTTCCACTCTGTTCTACTCGTTGACGAAGTTCATTGGATAAAGCATGTGGGACTAAATGATGTTCTGAGTTCGGGAGTCAAGCATCATTTACGCTCTGAAACCTCCCAACCCATCGGACCAGTCGTAGAAGCTGACCCAAGTTCCCTCCTCCACTCCACCAGCTCCACAAGCCAACAAGCTGACCTGGCACGTGGAATGACACCCCGGAGCGACACCGGACCAGCAGTTCCTCCGGGGAGCAGCTGGACGTAAACAGACGTAACTATACGATTAACCAAACCAGGTGGAACAAATAGTACAACTAGAGGTTTACATTACTGGCGGTCACGTTAAACCATAATTTACAGTTCATGGTTACTCAGTAAACCACTATACAACTTGGGTCCAAGAATTTCACTGTGGAACAAGCCCACCGTCCACCAATGGACCAATGGATCCGTTCCAAACATGGCCACCCAACGTTCGACTCGACCGCAACACCATGGCCCTCGACCCTTTTTTCACTGTGGAGGGTCGACCCTGTCTGGCCAGAAAGCGCATTTGGGGACAAAGCTATGGGTATGACGCTGGGTATGTATATCTATCTATATATATATATAAATATATGTAACAGTAGATGATGATGGTTCATTTGCAGGCCGACATCTCTAAAATAGTGATGCTCTTGTGTACCGACTGTCATGTATAATACATATGTATGTAATGTAAATACATAATGGGACATACCCAAAGTATGCCGTCCATGGTAATCTGTGCTGCTTCCATACCCCTATCATGTTGGCTTGGAGACCCTGAAAATTGAAAAGCCATGAAAGCCCGATGACCTGATCAAATCCTCTTGAAGGAGTTCCCACTATCTAGCTCACGTGCAAGTGTGATTTCCCTACAGCAGGGCACGAGAATTTGAGGACTCGCTCAGTCAGGTGTTGTTACAACCAAAGCTGTATCTTGCTGGTGAGCTTACAATCTCTCCGCGTACGGCTACAGCCGCACATCACCGACTCCCTTCCCCAATCAGTCGTCTGGGCCCCGCAAAACCCACGCACCTGTCCGGCAGGAACATTGCTGACGGTGTAGCTAGGAGCTCCGTAGCTGGTGCGCAAGGTCTTTCTCGGCTGAGGCCTGAAAATAAAACAAGTTCTGAGCCACAATCATCGCCATCAATTTCTTCCTACTACTCACCATCACTCACCCAAACCGAAAACCTAGCTTCGTATGGTTTACCCAGAACTCGTCGACCCCCTCGTGGCATCACGCGCCTCTCTTCGACAGGTACTGCTCGAGGTGCTGGAGCAGAAGCCTCGTGGGTTTCCCACGAACTGGAGTTGACACTGGTTGCCCAATTGGCTAACTGGTCGTTCAAATCACAGGTAAACCGTTAAACCCATGTAAACCCCATACCTGGCAGCCATACCTGGCCTGGCAGCCCTACCTGGCCATACCCACAATGGCGAACTGGTTGTTCTCAGGTCACCGGCGCATGGCTGAGCCGCGCAGAACGGACCAACGAGTGGCGACCGTGGCTCGCCGAGCGGAGTTACTTGGTGTCCAAATATAGATAGTGGCACAGTGTCCAACACATGTTTAGCGGGGATCTACGAATCTACGAACCGAACTTCTATCTATTTGGGGGTCTTTTTGTAATACTATAAAATTCGATGTTCTTGACTATTGACTTGAGATGCGGAGCTCGTACCTGCATCTCACAAACCAGTCTGTGGTCTGCCGGCCCAGCGGCGAAAAGCGGCAGGGGCTAGCGGGGCTGGCCGGGCGCTGGCCGGGACCACCAAATGGACAGCCAAGGAGGGGACTCTTTTCGCAATCGCCTGGGAGCCCCCACTCGCACAGTGCGTGGGCCACGAGCCACGGGCTGCAGCCGGGCCTCCGGGGGGGAGCAAAGTGGGTTATATAAAAGAAACAAATAGAAGACACCCTTACCTTGAAGATTCTTGAAGGGTATTTTATTACGGTATTGTTTAGAATAGGACAGTGGACTATACCCGTGTGAAAAGAACCTTGCTTGGATTTGGATCAGTTTGGATACCCGAATCTGCAGGCAACGTGGGTAAGGGAAGCGGCTTCCACAAATATTGGGAGGGCATCCCATGAATGGTGACTCGAAGACAACCGACAAAAGGAAAGGATCTGGTGCGATGGATGTGAACTTCATCTGCATTCGACTGCATCCCCCGGTCTCTATTTCTGTTGCCACGTGTCCCGAAGATACCAAGGCAGGCCTGGGCAGCTTGCAGCCATTGGCAGCTTTGGTTCGCCATGAGGATAAGCTAAGAAGAGATGAGGGATGCAATCTTGGCGCAACGTGCTTCTGTTTACTGTTGCTGCCATGTTCGCATCCTCTTGCTGCTCTTGCTGCATGAGTGCATCACAGTGAGTCCAAAGGTATTTTCATCACTTCCCACCGTAGGCGGCATCACTTGTTTACTGGCCGACCTGTGCCAATCCATGAAGCCAAGAAAGGAAGTTCCCGCCTGTCTCACCGTCATCCACCATCCGGTCAGTCAATTGGACGGTGAGAATAAATATATAAGTATAACGATAAACAATCACACGCAGGTGCAGCGGGTGATTGATGGATGTGAGGCTGAAAAGAAACAACCACT